CTCTTCAGTTTCTTCTATGTTGGTCACCTCTTTGACATTCACTAGAGTGCTGCAGTTGAAAGAACAGAACGGACCTAAGCTCGATATATAGAGCTACATCATTCTATAGGAAGCCAAAAAAAAATTACCCAAGTTATGTTTATGAGATGCCAACAAATTGTCTGACAAACATCAGTTTACTAGGAATTCAGACTATATATCCCCAAGAGACATCTCATGCAGGCAAAATGATGTTAAGCACTAGCTAGTATTAGTAATGGTGTATTTGAACATGTTGTAACAGACCTTTGATTGGATGAATGGCTCACTTGGGTCACTTCAAGTTTTTCTTTAATTTTTGGTAAGGCTTTCACACTGGATTTTCCCTTCAGGCCTAGAGAAGAGTGAGCATTTAGTTAAGTAACTTTAGTTTTAATGCCAGAATTTAGATTATTATTTCTCATAGGGCACCTTTAACTGTTCCCTCTCCTTCATGCCCATAACTTTGACCCTTATACTACAAGTATCCTAAGTGAATCTGGCTTGTTATTTCTACTGAGCTTCATTTATCAAAAGAGCAACAAGGACAAGCAATAGGAGACTCTGAGAAATACTTCAGGTGTTTTAGAAATCTATCGATTAAAAGGAAGACCACCTTGGACGTGACCTTCATTATATCAAGGCTCAAAGATGTTTAATTCCATTTCAAAGGAAGTCTGTCTGTAGCATCACAAGCATTTCTACATAGATTGGTCATCATTGCACGTAATCTCAAGCGTGAGATCACTGGACACTGCATGAGCAGGAATCATTCCCTTCCCCTCTTTCTTCCAAGACATATCTAAGTATAAAGAGGAAACAGACCTCAACGGCTGCTAGTTGGACCTGGTCAGCTATGCAAGAGTACTAACACCTACAAGTAAGAGCAGGCACCAGCAGAGCAGGACCAAGACAGAAACCAACCTTTACTGTACATTATAATACTATTTTAAAGTCCCACCTTTAGGGGACAGAAACATCTCACACTGATCTTCCCCGTTTACTATACCAAGTTACACCACTAGTGTCAGCCCTCACTTTAGGGCCATACCTCCTCCTCGGACCCTCACTTTTGTTGTGGTTGTTTTCTCCCTTCCAAGCTTCCAGTTCTTGATTGAGATTTGCTAAATTATATTGAGCAATAAGAATGACTGGTCCTTTCGTGGAATAACTTTAAACAAAGATTTTTTAAAAAGGCTGGCTAGGGTTTTCCCGTGTCTTTTCTGAAGGGATTGATTAACCAGTTAAAAAAAAAGAGGGTGGAAACCCCTGTTTATGACTAAGGGCTAAGAAGAAATGACCCCCCCCAGATGCCAGCTCAGCTGCCTCCTCTCTGCACCTCACAGGAGACCTGGCTAATAACAAACTGCTTTAAAACCTCAGGCAGGTTCAGCTTAGCCTGAACGCAAGAGGCGAATAAAAGACGAGCCGATACACAACTGTGGGAGCCCACAACGCTTAGACAATAATTTAACATCCTTCTCCCGAGCATTAAGGATTTGGAGCAGCATCCTTACTGTCACGTCCCAAGCTGTCACGAAAGCAAAGTACGTGAATGATAAAGAAACACTGGACAACCCGTGGCACAACACCCTCTGCACAAGCGCTGCCGGCCCTGCAGAGCCGGCTGCTGCCTCTACCCGACCCTCTCCACGCACGACATGACACGCGCCACGTTTGGGGGCTTTCGCCCCTCAAACACCCCCCCGCCGCTGCCGC